CGCATGAGCGGGTGGAAAATGGATCACCGAGTGGAGGTTGAGTTGATATATAGTGTATATATATATATATTCAGTGTGCTGTTCAGTGCAGCCAAGGAAAGGATGCCCGGTCTTCATGTGCCACTTGCTTGCGTGAAGTGCCGGGACAAATCCACACATTCTGCATGCCTGTAGTAGATGGTTTGAAGAGTTCGGGGAACGAAGTGAAGTAGCCTTACTTGGAATGACTTCACCGTGTTGGTAAGACCAAAAACAATAAGCCATAATTAGTTTCATTGTTTGGAGAGATTCAGAGATTGCTGCTGTTTGTAGATTGCCAAGGCGAGCCTTCCCTGAAGATGCCCTTCTCGGAATTTCTGGAAAGCCTAAAGAAGCGGCATTGCCGCTTGGACAGGCAAGTTGGAAGTCCAGACGTCCAGAAGTCCTTCACTTCCTATTTGAGGCAATCCGTGTGGTATAGGCCATGTGTGTGTCTTGACCATGCTTTGCGTCCAAATCCAGCAACCAATCATCTCCAAACGGACCATTTGCTTCTACCTTACTCTATGTATTGGGTGGTCAGATGTGGCGGGTCCAGGAACAAAGTGATTGTGCTTGTTGTTTTTTCCCCACGAGTGGATGGGTCACTTCAGTCATTGATCCCTTTACTCTTCGCATCGCATGGCCGCAGGACATACGGTCACTACAGTATCACATCCTTCCCGGGCTTTCACGCTTTGTGCATGTTGAGTTTCCGTCTTACAACTTGAGTTTTTGACCACAGTATCTCAACTGTTTCCTGGGTTTTGTGGCTATGCAGCTATGCAAGAGATTTTGTCCAGTCGGAGGAACGTGGTTGAACATGGTTTTCCCACAAGTTGGTTAAACCCAAGGAGAGAGCCCCCCATGGCATCTTGGGGGGTTTATCAAACATCAAAGTTCATGATGGACTGTGTCATTCAATGGTGATTGAAACCCTCAATGGACAAGCCTGACAATCCGCTCTTAAGACATTCATTGAACGTGGTAGATATTCTAGTTCTATTAGTTGTTGGAAGTTGCCTTTTACTCTTTGCATAGTGTATGGAACATCTATGCGTGAGCGGTGTTTTGTTTGCCGTACCTTTCTTAGCTCTCTTGGATGCAACTTGTTGTCCCTTTCTTCCTTTCCCATATTGATACGAGACACATTTAGGAGATTCTACTTTATAAATAGAGATATTGGAGGCTGATACATGTAGAACTACCGGTCGAGTGATTACTCTTGTAACGACTTCTTCTACTCCTCCAGGTCACCATTTGTGTCACCACACCGGGGCATGTGACTTGTCGCACGTCACCATTCGTCACCTGCCAGTCAGGTCCTTTCTACCTGGGCAAAGCGCCCATTGCCACGGAGCTGCCGTCGCTTCAGAAGCATTTGGATCGCCACACGGCGGAGACAGATGCCGCAGGCGCCGCGATCACTCCACTGGAACTCTTCGGTGGGTGCTTTGGGGCCTTGGTGCCAGCAGGAGTCTACACCTACATGGGCGCCGGGCGGAACACGACATCGATTCACTTCGATGGGTCACTGGGACGTGAACGAGTACTGACGGACTGGGAACGAGAACGAGTACTGTCACCTTTGGGAACGAGTATCTTCACAAGTCACTCTGGGCCTCTGGGGGGGTATGTGTTTTCTAAACTTGTTGAATGACCATTTCATTGAACGTATCCAGCTCATGGTGATGGGAACGACAGACATATATAGGTTGAGAACTTTCGACCAACATATATGTTGAGAGATGATAATCTGTTTGCGAAAATAATCGATGTTTGCTCTTACTCGGTTCTTATGTGTTTGTTTGACATCAGAGGCGAACGATGTGGGTAACTAGCAGGGAATGTGCAATTTGGCTGTTTGGTGGAGTGCAAGTAAGAGTTTGCGTGTCAGGATGTCATACCCTCACAAGAGGAGCTGGAAGGGTTTGACATGGTTTTGACGCAACCATATGAATGACCGGGACAAGATGCACTCGGCCGATCCAGCCACCTCGGCTTCCTCTCAGGTATGAGAACTTGATGATGTGCATGCGCGGCAAGAAGCACATTTGCTGCTGATCTGCACAACAATCACAAAAAGTAACACGACTTCCAGTGGGGTGTCAATAGGTACGTCCTTCCCTAAATCCTATAATTGGACAGCAGTCGCCCAGTCGCCCAGACCGTGTCACGCGCTGCCGCTGCGCGGCCCCCGCCGGGCAGGTTTGTGGCCTCCCTGGGCAGCAGCGCAGCTGTACCCGGTGGGCGAGTCCTTCAGCTGCCCCGATGGATTCACCCGTTCAGCGGTGAGTCCTGGAGGCCTGCGCTTCGAGGAGTTGGAGGCTGAAGAGCAAGCGCGCTTAGTGGCCCAGCAGAGAAATTGAGAAGCAGAGCAGATGGACGGGATAGACTCCCTGAACTCATCATGGTTACATGGAAAACCACCGCCACCACCACCACCACCTGGTTGTTTGTAGGACAACAATGGTCATTCAAGAGTCCATGCCATCCACGCAACTATGATTATTTCAGGGAGTGTAGATGTCCTTTTAGCATCATTGGTTGATGGATGAATCCTTTGAGAGTATCTTGGGCCTTGGGCTTCCGCAAGGACAAGTCTATAAGTCAAGAAAACACATGTACCCATGTAACACCCATGTGCTTCAAGTGTTCTGCCATGTTTCCTTTGTTTGGAGTACTTGGAGTGCTTGGAGTGCTTTCCATGTGACGCGTCCGGAGGCTATGCTCTACGCGTCGTGTTTCGTCGAGACACCTCCGTGCGTCGTGGTCGATAATCATCTCACCTTCACCACATCTCCTACCTGGCCCATCTTTGAGGCGTGTTACCGCCATGCAGAGCCTCTTCGCCTGACCTTGGAGCCTGGACAGCTGCTCTATCTGCCAGCGGGGTGGTGGCACTGCGTGGAGGGCTCAATGGAGCCCAACATGATCCTGACGCCCCGTTGGAGCGAGCGAGCGGATCGCGGATCGTTTTGGGTGACACTGGAAGAGTCACATTCCATGGAAGTAGATGGGATGCCAGAGGTGGGTCAGAACCTTAGTTCGACTATCCCAGTTGGGTACCCCAAGTTATGGTCCTTTCTCAGGTCATTGAACCTCTCTTGGTGGTCCCGAAAAGAAGACTTGTTTCTTCATCTTTCTTCTACCAATTCTTGGGGTGGGCTCCACTTCCATGTGGATGTGTGTTTGTGGAAGCGTAGTTGGACGGGTCACTTCATGGATCTTTATGGCACGTCTTTGGTCGTTCAAAGAGGACAAAGCCTGACCCAGCCTGCCAGGCATGTGAGGGGGAGGGTGGAGGGGGGTATTTTGAGACAAGTGGAAGTGAGAGATGGTTGGCAAATGTTGGTTCTATGGCTCGCGCCATTGGAGCTGGCCGAAGCACTGGGAGTATGCTCTGCCAAGAAAGGATCAACTGAAAAGTGTCGGAGGGGCAGGCAGACCTCACACATAGGTTCATATAGCTGGTTCCCAGAAGAAAAACTAGAACCCCTCAACTCCTCAACCTCAGGAGGCTTGCTTTTGTTGTAGTTATGATGTTGCCCCGGGTCCTTCAGAAAATCTTTGTTGAACAGTTCGTGACCTCCAATCGTTTTGTTTGCTTCGTCCAACTGCGCCAAGCTGGGGGGCGTAACCGCCTCACCTGTCACAGCACAGCCTAACCTGTGTCCGGCGAAGACGAGGAACTGGTGGTTCTCTTTACATCCGCAGAAGATTGCACAAGAGCAGGACGCCAAGTAAGAGAAGCTCATGACCCTCATGACCCGTGTCCCTCATCGGAGATATTCGGATCTGGCACGGACAGAATCGGAGGCAGAGTCGAAACCGGCCCATGGCATCCCCATGGAAGCCTGTTCGCGACAGCCATGAAAGCCTGGTCTGGAAGTGGATGCAATGGAGTTGCTTTGGAGGTTTGAGGCGTCGCAGGATTGTGGGCAGTGACGGCAGTGACCTGCAGGATTGTGGAAGTTCTTTCGAGGAGGAAGTGGCGGCCGCAACCGGATTTACTACTTTGCTGTGAGCATTGTTTTTCTCAACAGCCTCGTCGCAATGAACTTGCAGGAATCGTTCTCGGTGGAGCAAAAGGAAGATTGCAGAACACGCAGGATTACTGGTTTGCTGAGCTGCCAGTTTGGATGAAAGGGGGTCCTGGAGTGCCAGAGATGGGCGAGGATGACCACGTCCAGTCCTGCACAGCAAACTGAAGCCATCCTTGGCGCAGTAGCAATGCTACTCATACAGACAATACCGTCAATATCCTGCGCTTGTGTGGCCTTCCAAAAGAAGAGAGAGCGTGTGGTGACTTGAAGGGCCAGCATGACATCGATGACAAGCAGTTGACCACACTGTAAGTCGAAGCATTTTGATGAAGAATAGTACATAGATGTGGGTCCATACCAAACACCCCAAGACGGTCAAGTACCAGGAACCTTGAAACCAAGGCATGATAGATATCATCCCTCATACCGTTTGAATGAATGTCTAGTCATCAATCAAGCTGCACTTTAGCACTGATTCCTCAGAGACCTTGGAGTCTTCACCAGCTCCGCTGGTGTGAACACACCGGTCATGTTTTTGTTCTGTTTTTTTCGGCTTGCTGTGAGAAGCTAGGTGTCCGTTTCCAGGCCGCCTCCTTCCTTGGACACTTCCTTCTAGTCACAGCTCTTCACCACTGTCTCCAGCGCTTTTGGTGGTTTCTCCTCGCGCGACCGCGCCAGCTCGACCGACGACGACCCGTCCGTGCCATCCTCAATGGCAGGGTCGGCCAAAACAATCGAAACAACATGACCCGGGCCATCCAATGCCTGGCTTTGCTGAAGGGTCGGTGATATATTTTCTGTATGTAGTGAAGCCACGTGAATCCCTTTCTGAGAGAAGTCAGATTTGTTTTTATGTTTTCCCGGTTCCTGGACAGCAAATCCCAGAATGGAAATCCTGACTGGCCCGCTACTGCCTAGGGGTCTCCAGCCAGATCCAACTTTCCGAGTTGCAGTTGGAGTGTGAAAGGCTTCAGGGTTGATACAGCTGCGTCCAGCAGTGCTTTTGGAATCCGTTTTGAGGGTTTGAACTTGCCGAAATTGAGTGGAACACCGGACACGTTTGGAGCACGGGAGCACGGTGATTGGGAATCTGAGCGAACTGCAAAGTTTCCGTTGGACATTTACTGTATACATGCGTATACTGTACACTGTAGAAGATTATAGAAAGTGGTTTGAACACCGTTCCGAGACACCCACATGGTGTTTTGATGTGTTTTGGATGCTGAATGTTTTACGTAGATGTTTCATCCAAACTAGTTGCTGAAGACTCTGTTACACACCGCATCCATGGCAATCTTTTGATTCTTCGATCGGTTCGTCACCGGTCCATTTCGGGTCGCCGGAGCCAAAAAACAGACGGGACGTAAGTAGGTGAAGCCCATCCCCACATCCAAGACTAAGCTGGCTGAATAGTTGTCACATGTTTTCACCCACAACGACCACAACGCCTCATAGCGATGGATGCAGAGTGTAACTCGACGGCTCCGTTGGATTGGGACCGGCCTTCGCGTGGGTCTTGGAGTCTGACATGTGGCGAACTGCAACGCGGCAGGGTGGAGAAGGCTTCGTTGCCTTCGCCCAGGACCCGGAAGGGACGCAGCTTCAAGACGACGGATCGAATCGTCGAAATGGGTCGAAAGCGCCCGAGCAAGACGACGGACGTCAAGGTCTGTCAAGGTCCGTCACGATCCTGTTTGATAAATTAATGTTGTGGTATTGACGCAGACAGTCATGTTCGAACATGTTTGTCTAATTCATCTCGTTGATAGTGAGTGCAGTTGTGCTGATGAGCCAGATATCAACACGTCATGGTGTGCTAAGAAGCTTTTGTTGCTTGGCAGGACCTAGATGGGAGTAAGAGTAACACATGTCAACTATTGCAACATATTGCACCCATTGTCTATGAATTTTAGCTCACACGCACCGGCATGGTCAAAACTACAAGGTCTGTCCCATCATTGTTGGTGTTGTTTGCGCTGTTGCCCTGGTCGTTGCTGCCGTCGTCGTTGGCCTGTGGACGAATTCTCGATGGCATCCGGATTGATGAAGGTTTCACCCAGGGGGGCGACCGTGGCATGACGAGTGGCATGAGATTCCCTCAGGATCCAGTCGTACCTTGTCAGAAGGTGATTGGAGACACTGCTATGTAGGTGACAGGAGGGTTCAGTCGTACCTTCTGAGGTTCGGCACGACTGGATCCCTAGGGATTATATCCATTGACCTCGACCTCAACCACCCCAATGTAGGAATAGGCCATACATAGATCGAGCGTTTGGGTCATGTCGTTTTGGATCTGAAAACAGGACGGAGATGATCCTCCAGTCACACACCGTTGACAATCCAGTCACACGGCCCGCTTGTGGATTTCTAGTTGTTCCTTTTGGAACGGCTGATGGATGTTGGAAGTTGTTCGATCACAGAGTTCGGACTTATGTTCTTGGGCTCAGGATACCAGATGATACGTCAGCTGTCAAGCAGCATGTTGGTCATCGGAAGCTCGCCAAGCCAAGAGAGACGATGCGTTATTTTTTCCTTTTGTTGCCGTGCTTCAGATGCGGAGGGCATTCAGCGCAGAATGCATTCCGAAGCACAATGAGACTGATCATATGATCGGATTGTTTTTGTTGCCTTAAGACCCAGAGGCAGAGGCTTGCCAAAGTAAGTGTTATGATGTTTCATAACAATGGATTGACATGGATTGACACTTATTGAGATGTTGCCATGCCACATGCACTAGCCTCCTTGATCCTCATTGCTTGGTCTCACATGTAGCAGCCTGCCTGATGGTGAAAGTTCCTTTGCCCAAACTGGTTTTCTCTAGTAGGATTGGTTTCACATGGTTTCAAGCCCCCACTCTCCATCAGGATTTTGGCCCAGATTTTCACTTGGGAGGGCCGTAGGCGTAGCTTTTTGCTTCACTGAGGAGATCCGAAAGCCAATCGGTCCAGTCTGTACAGCAAGAGGCCGAAGCAGGTGTGAAGAATGGGCAGCTTGGTACTGAACAGGTTGAGTCTTCTGGGATCTACTCGTACTGAGATCTACTGTCCAAAAGGAAGGGAACAAGTTGGAATGAGGGGAGGATGAACTGAGGAAGCAGTCGTGTGAAGCTGGCCAATCCTAGCAGGTCAAGGTTCAATTATGTTACCGACAGTGCAACAGTTATATTACGAAAGCCAGACGTTAGGTTGGGGGGCCATTGCTAGTTGGAGGACATCGCTACTAAAGGTTGGGGGCCATTTGGAGGCCATCACTACTAGGTTGGAAGCCATCGCTACTAGGTTGGAGGCCATCGCTACTTACTAGGAGGCCATCGCTAGTAGGTTGGTATTTGCCAAGGAAGTGAGTTCTCTAGGAGGTGGGAGGGACAGTGGGCAAAATGGGTATATACCCTGGGAAACTTGCTCTATTAATTAAGTCTATTTTTGTGGATGCAATTGTTGCAAGTCGTGGCAAGCTTTTGGGAGTTGTATAATTATGATGCAGAACATATAGATCCTCTATGATCCTCTCGTAAGTGAAGAGGCAAGCGAACAGTTGATAAAGCACAAAGCACAAATGTTCAGCGGCCGGTGCATGAACACGCATAGAGTGAATACATAAGAATACAGACAATTTCATATGAATACATATAGAATGCATGTGAATACGATTTCAATTGTTTAAAGGATTGTTTTCATCACAAGCAATGCGACCAAAGCCTGCAAGGACATGAAAATGAGTTGGGTCAGCCTTCAAGGGAAGAAGACGTAAACATACCTCGCCGCGCCCTTGGTCGTTCAGACAACTCCCCTATCGAAGAACTTGTCTCGTGATGGGTGCTTACGATCGCCGCTCCGAATGGATGAGAACAGATAGACACGATGAAGAAGCGTTGGAAGATGTTGGAGTCATGAACTGGAAGATGTTGGTTCACACGCGTGACCTTATATCATCATAATCATTTCGAGACACGTCCTTCCTTTCTCAACCGGAAGCCACAGGGCTTGTGGGTCGAGTGCTCCTCTGCCGGATGCGAGGTCGCCCAGCGCTGTTAGCAGCCCGGTGGAAGAGGAACTCAGGTCCTTCACTCACGATTGGACGCTCGTCCCCGCGCGGCGCTCGCTCGGGAACGGCCGTGTTGAGCATCTCCACTCACTGACCACTGGTGTGGTCAAGGTCCCATCATCTGGATGGTGGGGATGCATGAGGTCTACGTGGGGAGGTATATGAAACAATACCTGTTGCCCAGTGGAGCATACCCAGCTGCCTGGGACCTGGGGATGATGGTGGTGAAGATGGAAAGATTTGGCTGCTTGGCCTACAGCCAAATAGAATTGGCACCGGCTTAGATGGACCCAGCCAGATACGTGGAGGGTCCTGCCATTGTTCCAGGTGCGCATAGGGTCTTGGGTGGCTAGATCTTGGGGACTGTGGAGGGGAGACGTCACTCGACGTCACTGTAAATGCTAAGTTTCCGAATTAAGCCTGGTGATTTTGTTTTTGCCAGTTCTCCCGTGACTTGGTTGAGCTGCTGTCCTGCAGCCTGAGCCAATTCTCATGGTTGCATAAGCCCCTGAGCAGCTTGCCCACCACACGTAGTCTGAAACAAAGATTTTCTCAAGACGCCAGATTTGAGCGTCTTGAGAAACGTCCTGGGATCGATTCCTCCGAGGCCCGCGGCGAGATTTCTCAAGATGCCAGATTTGAGATGTTGGTGGTGCAGAAAACTCAAACTTTACATCTTGAGAAAGCGCCCTTGTTTACAGGCCAACTGCATCAAGCCACCTTTTACGCCGTTCATTTAGTTTTTTGCATGCTTGGTCTAGTTGATTTTCGCTTCGGGTGCGAGAGTTCCTTTGCATTTCTGAAGACGCCAGGCTTGATCTTTTCAGGATGCAAAAAAACTCAAATTTGGCGTCCTGAGACACATCCCTCGGTTCGAGTTCTCCCACAGGTCACTTTCCACCTGCGACTTCAATTTTGTTATTTCAGACGGCCTCGGTTTTGTTTTCAAGTTGAAAATTGTAAATTCGACCCGACGACCTACGAACTGCTACAATTCAGCCAGCACCAGGGAAACTGACCAGGACCACTTTCGAAAACAATAATTTGGGTACGTTCGCTACCGGATACAGGACATCGGAACATATTTGTAACATATTGGAACCTGCTAAACGTACAAAGTCGTGTTTTACCACGGGATAGTAGTTGGAAATGATCTTAATGATCCATGTCGTGGAACTGAGGAAGAAGGAGAGGGCTAGGCGGAGGCACAAGGAGTTGATGGCGAGGCAGGCACTGAAGCCCGTCCCAGTGGTTCCGCAGCCTTCGGAATGGGTGCCGT